CGGCGACGCGCGAGATAACTTCGTGCACTTTCAAATTCGAGAACGAGCGTCTAATTTCTTTTTTCTCTTACTTTTTGCACAGTAACCACGCCGAGCGATTTCTATGTAGGCTATGCACGCGAGATAACTTGGTCGAACTCGCTTTCAAACGAGTAGCAGATTTTGTTTTCCTATTCTTTTTTTTTTTTTTCACGCGGTAATCGCATCGAGCAATTTCTACGTGGAAGACCCGCGAGCCTCGGATCATGTAGCCCGGATAATGTAGTCGAGCGGCAATGAAGAACATCGCGCGATGGCGAAACCTAATCACCGGGCAGAAATATTCGCGTCCGTTTATGCCGATTCGGCGTCTGGCTCGCGAAGGTTGCCTTCAACATCGCGGCTTTCGAGCCGACCGTCGAGAAATAGCGATCATCATCATCATCATCGTCATCATCCCAAGAGACACCGATGCGGCTCGTATGCTAAGCAAGCTGATAATTTTGCATGTCGCTAAAGTAGTTGTAGCATAAAATGAGTATTTTTACGAATTCGTTGAAACCTGTGCTATACATAGATTTAAATATGACTTGATTATTGACACAATTATAAGTAGATTGACCATTCGGATGCTGAGATATTCGCAACTGAAGATATGATACTTTTTATACTTTTATACGTTTTTCCTGAGGTTAATGTTCTATTTTTAACTTCTACTTTTAATTTCTTCTGAACTACGTTTAGGATTTTCATGAAAAATCACACGAAGACAAATTTTTTACTGTCACTATAGTACAATTTGCTATATCAGCAAAAAATTTGTCTCCGTGTACTTTAATGTTAAGGACTAATACAGAGACATTATACAACAATTTCAGAATTACTGACTATTTTGTTTTGAGAAAATAGTTACAAGAAATTTATAATTTCTAATAATACCCGCGATATAATGTACATATATTTAAATGTTTACATATCGTTTTCTTATGTGTGCACTTCTATTAGTTTAACTGACGTATAAATATAAAGTATTAATAAGAAAAATAAAAAATAAATATTTTCGTGTTTATAATATTGTATATATTTTTCTTAATTTCGCTCAAAATTAACGTTTATTACTTAGATAGCCAAATAAGGTTATAGAAAAGTGTTTTTTTTTGTTCAGTAAACAGTAAACTTATATAGGGGCCCCTTAATATCGCCATTGAAAATCTACGATGCAACTATTTTAATTTCGCGTGCCGGTCGTTTTATTCGTACACGTGCCGGGCATAATTGTTCGACCGGTGCGAATAGTCAACATAACACCGCAATTCCGCTCGTTCCACACCAACGCGCAGTAATAGACACACACACGTACACACATGCGTACGCACCACGACACAGACAGCGACACGACGAATATTTTTTGCCGATGCTCGCTCGTTCCTTTTCCTCTCACAATGACGTTAAGTACCAAAGTTAACATTTACCTTCAAGCACTTCGCAGCCACTTTTGCGCCTACCTCGAGGCGTGCCTGCCGTGGGGCAAAAAGCAGCGCGAGATTATACCTTGCATGACTAGTCGTTCGGCAAACGACACTCGTTTTACGCGTGCATTCCATCGGATCTGCCTTCGCAGCCCTGAAGAAGGGCCCGGGATACGCATATAATAGAAGCGAGGCGAGGCGTTAAAATGTTCCGTGCGCGCGTTGAAGTTTCGAAAAATGTAAATCGCGTGTCGCCATGCGGCAGAAAATCGGTACGATAAGGAGCAATCTCTCGTGTGAGCGAACTCTCGAGCCACCAAGAGTCATCGCACTGCCATGCAAATGATCGCGACTTCTCAATGCGACCGGGGATCGCGCTCTGTCTTTATTCGATCGACGTGTTGGAGTCGTTGTCACGGGACATGTACGTAGGCGCGTCCGGTCATTACCTAGCCGCCGCTCCAAGACGTTTTTTGTTTGCTCATTTACTAACGATTCTCGTTTCCTAGAAATATTTAAACGCTCAGTCTCGGATTTCGAAACTTTAAATTCTACATTATGTCCTCAAGTGGAAAAAGAACGGAAACAAGTTCCCACTTACATCAAAGGAGCACAATAAAAGATCTTTGACCACTTAATGTAGAACTAAATTAGACTTAAAAGAGGACTAAAATTCCGGTTTGGAGTCTGACGCCAAGTTACATACACGAGAAAGATGCTGTTGAATCGATAAGGCTTCCAACAGCAGCGTAATTGGGATAAATTTTCTTGATTCAGTGACAAATATAAAAATTACTACGTTCTATATTATTTCAATAACTAAAGTGTTAGTTCCAGTGATACCGTTATTTAATCAGGAAGATTTACTCCAGTTACGCGTGCTCTTGGAGATTCTATCGATTCAACAATATTTTTTCCTTTTCGCGTGTGTACGGTGCGCGCGCAAAAAGCGAACGAAATCGTAAATCATCCCGTCTGCGCGCGGTTAATTTTCGGCCTTCGCATTATTTCGGCGGAAAGATTATACGTGGGACGAAGTGGTCGGCGTGGTATAAATTGAGATTTACGAAAAAAAGCCTAGGACAATGTGTCACGGGAATTCAAATTTATGCGGGTCCGTCCGTACTGTCCCATTTTTATTTCGCGCCATTGCGTGCGCGTCTGTTTGCGAACGTCTCCCAAAAAATCGTCGTGACAAAATCTAATTGTAAAGTACTATTGGGATCCCGGAAGACGGCTATAAAATTTTCGTTAGACGTGAACATTCATCCGGGTCATAAATCTGAGTCCACGTCAGACGGGAATTCACGCAGGAGACGAACGCCCGTCGCGACAGCGTTTTCGCGGTGTACCTAATAACTCACCTACCGCGTGAACTATAATCGAGAGAGGCCGTAAACGTTTAAAATGACGAGAATTATGGAACTAGCGCGTAAAATGATTAATGGCTGGCGGATGGCTGCTTACTGTGCCGACGAGGTGCCCCTCGTTTGAGTCGCGCGCGCAGATTGTTCTCTCTTGCGACAGCGCCGGCAGCCGCAAAATGCATTTCATTCTTGCGACCTTAACATCGAATCGTCGCGACGCTAAACACCCGCTCCCGTAAATCTGGCACGGCGCGAGCGAGAATCGGAATGTAATCGGGAAACGCGCGGAATTTTCAGACGAGAAAGAGAGAACGAGAAGGGGCAATTAAAATGGAGTGAATTAAAAGTGAATTTTATTCTCGTTTGTCAAGCGAGAATCGACATTTCCTAATGTGGATGTGTGTCTTGTTTTTTCTTTCTTTTTTTTACGATACGCATACGCGATGAGGTGGATCTATCTCGTCGGTTGCTCGGCGCGTGAAAGTTAAAAGTATCGACGGTATATATAAGTGAAACTGAATCTTTTACCATGAATAACCCAACGGCTCCCTGTGCCCGATGGCGGGCTTCGGTAAAAGTTGCGGCCGTTACGCGCGCGCCCGTGCGACATTATTGTAATTAGCTGGCGCGCATATTAAAAGCGAAAACTCCCGGTATCGTGGATCTAACGAGGGAACAAATCGAGCCGCTTATCGCTGCTAACCGCGGCACGCACGCACGGCTCCGTTAAAATGAAACGGAAAGGTATTGGCCGCGGCATGAAAACGACGCGTTCTCGTCACACACGGATACGAGCGGTGGGGCCGGGTGTCCTTACACGGGGTGTCCCCGAAACACCGACGATCTCGTTGATTTCGACGAGAAAAAAACTTCGTGATCCATTTTGGGGACGATTTTTCCCCCGGCTGAAATCTCGCGCCGCTCCGCCACTTCCGTATCGGAGAAACTGTGTAATTATGCGTGACGCGCTATTGTCGGGCTATATTTTTTCCTCTAAACCCTGGTAAGGTCGATGTCTCTCTCTCTCAGGGAACCGTCGACGGCGCGTTCTCACGAGCAATAATTACTACATAGTTAATGTCGGCCTATCGGTGAGCCTCTACCAGCTCCGCCGAGCGTTCGAGAAACTTTTTATCCGCCGCGCCGCGTCATTTTCCACAGTCACTCTCGTGTACGCGCGATGCATGGTATATGGGAACAATATTGTCTGTCGTTTCCCAACCAAGGCGGCCGGCTCGTTAGAGCTTCGTTTTTGCATTACATAAAACTTGGATGGGTGTCAAGCTTATCGAGTAACCGCGCGGTGAACGGTATTACGGCGCGCACGTAGCCGTTGCGCCGTTGCCCGTGAACCTAACGCATTCTCGACTCGCCTTTTACCAGAATATCTCGATTATTGAGACCACTGCCCGTTAAGGTAGCTCGTCGATATACGTAGCCGTGCATTGAACTTGTTTCTCTCTTTCGAGAGAGCGAGAAGAAAGGGAAAGAGACACATACACACACACAGTCATTGGATGGGATTGAGAGAAACAGCGCCGAGTGTTCTCTCGCCGACATAAATCGCTGCCGCGATAATCTCTAAGATTGAAATAAACGCTCGCGCGCGACAGTCCCTCCAATATCCAAACGGAAGTTGTGGAGAGATACCAGTCCGACTCGTTTCAGAAGTCCGAGAGGGTGGGGCAGTCGGCCGTCTATCGAAAGAGACAGTAATGATATCACGGGCGTAAACCGGGTCCCCGCGCTCTCGCGCAGAATTTGCCCGCGAGCACGCGTGCGCCTATGATTTCCCCACAGCTCATTAACTCGCCCAACTCCTTCGATCGTTTCGCGCGATTCTTCCCCGGCTTCCGATTATCGCCGCGCTCTCGCGCGGTTCCTCTCGCGTTTCCCGCCAAACCGAGTTACGTCCGCCGTCGTGAAAGTGTCGTCCCCGCGCGTGTCCCTCCGCCAGTGGAATCCTCTCGCGGAGATCGTGGATGGGCGATCGCCAGTTGAATGGCGGAAGGAACGAAGTAGAGAAAGCCGACGACGGCGTGGCGGACACGCGTGATTTCCGCGATGCGCGCCCCTCCCGAGGCCTCCCGAAACCGCCGGCGGCGAGGTAAGACGTTACCACGTTATCCGTCGATTAGCGGAGTGTCAAAGCTCTCTCTCCCCGTGTCGGCAAACGTGGACTTACGTCTCGAACGAAATCCTCGCGGTCGTCGTTGGGAGCCTCCTCCTCCTCTTCCACATTGATACGAATCGCCGACATGCCACGGGGCGTCGATCCCTCGCGAAACCACCCCGACGGAGCGCTCTCCTGCAGATTGCCGAAAGCCGACGGTCTCCCCTCCGGAGTCCTCATTCGGAATCTTACTCGGCAGGCGCCGCTCCCGTTGCTCGCTTGATTACGAGATCACCACTCCTCGGCGCGACGGCTGTTGATCTCTCGATTTCTCTCTCTCTCTCTTTCCGTCAGTATTAATCCACGGATTCCACAAGAAACCCACTGTCGGTCACCCCCGATGAACGAATCGACCGATCGCGAATCTCCTCGCGCTGGTGCTCCGTGGCTATCGTGCGCCTCTCTAACCGCGAGACCCTCGCTCCTCGCCCTCGGTCAGGAGGGTGAGGCCGTGTGGCGACGTGTGTGTGTCCCAGGGAACGCGTCTCCTCGGAGCTCGTTGTCCTCTCTCTCTTTCTCTCTCACCCTCTTGAGAACAGGACAAGGAATCTCTCCACCGGTCGGGAACTCTTCCCTCTGGACATCCCGCGTAAACACGCACACACACGCGCGCGCGCGCGATCTCGCGTGAGACCTCTCCGCGAAAATCCAGTACGGAATCACCAGCGAGGGGGACGGACCAGGTGCGCCGATCGGTGTGTTGTGTACCGCACGCCGTACCGTGATCGTCTCTCTCGCACGTGTGCGACTAGAGCCGCCGCCGCATCTGGCCTTTGGACTGGCTGGCACCAGTCCACCAGAACGGTTTTATACCTTCGTATCTCCCACTCTCGCGGACGTGCGAGCGCGCGCGAGCGAGCGAGCGAACGCGGACGCGAACGCGCGCGCTCGTACCGCGCGGCGCGTCGATGATTCTGCACACCGTTCCATCACGGCCGGGAGAGGATCGATCCTTTTTTTCTCTCTCCTCCTCCTCCTCTCCCCTTTCCTTTTTCTTCCTCCCCGGACATACGGCGGCGAAGGCACGCACGAATGCACGCTGCGTGCGTGGCTGCGGTCCCGTCATGTGTTCCCCGCGCGAGCGGGATCCCACCCGAGGGTATCCTAAGCGCAAGGACAAACGGGAGGGAAGGGAGCGGTTCGTGCCCTAAGTTGATCCGGTTGATGTACGGCCAACTGGTCGGCCGATCGATAGGTCCCGTCTCGCGATCGCGGATGCAGGAAACGCGGAGAGTACAGGCATCAGAGCGCATTATCTCCTCTCGGCGTCAGACAGGCGGCGTAACAACGTCGAGGAAGTGTGGGCTCTCGCGCACTCGCTTTTATCTCTTGGATTCCGCGTGTATAACCGCGACATACCCAGGTACTGGAACTTACAACCGTCGGATACGAAAAAGGAAAGGTGTATATATGTTTGTCTGATCTGCCAACTTCCGACATTGGTCTTAATATCGTGGGTAGTGCCGCGATCGCGCGCGTTCAACGCGGTGGCGCGCCTCGGCACCACGCCTATTCAACGCGTCGTCGCATGTTTCTCCTTATTACGCAAATTATCCGAGACGACGGATAATAACGACAAATGATATCCCACGAGTGACGACAATGACGCATTGTGCCGTGGCGATTTAATTGCGATCTTATTAGCGCGCGCTATTTATATGTCACGCGAGAGATATGCAAGCTCGTGATGAAAAAACGTATCCTTTTTTTTAATTGGTTATTCCGACGTAACGATCGGTTTTGAAAGCAAGAGAGTTCGGGCACATTCTATTTGAGATAATAAATAAATCTTATATAATCTATATGTATAAGTAACAGTTTTATTCGGAGAATTTATTCATTGAATAATAATATCCATTTAAATAATTTATTTAAATGAATATCATTTGAATAATTTATTCAAATGAATGTACAAATAATTTTTTATTCGCACTGTTCGTTATTCGAGTTATTTGTTATTCATCGTTTATTGTTTGTCTTGTTTTTCTCTATTTATTTTACACATATAATAAATATTTTTTTACCAAAAAAGTATAATATATTACTGGGATAACAATATAATGATTGTGTGATATATTAAGTAAAAATAATATAATGAAATATAAGGTCACACATATACGTACGTATGCGCAAACACAAGTAATAAATAATAAATAACAAATGACGTAAATAATGCAAACAGACATATGAATAACAAATAATGAATAATTATAGACATATGAATAACAAATTATGCACGAATAATAAATAACAATATAATAGATAAAACTTTATTTAAATAATGCACTTTACTTAAATAAAAATTTATTTAAATAATATTCAATTCTGATTAAGAGGACTCGGCGTAAATATGAAATCACTGATAAAAAATCTCGCCGATGCGGCATTTTAAACAGCCTCGCGTTGTCGTTAAATTAAATATCGTTAAATTAAACATTCGCTTTTATTTGTCACGGACGTGTGTCTTTCTTTTAAGCTCGTAATGAAATATCTGTCTTCCTCCTTTTTTCTTCTCCTCTCCTCTTTTTATTTTCGCAACAAAGTACCCGCACTCTCGTACTCCGTAACTCACATTGCGTCCTTCGGCGTGTTTGCCGGTTGTAAACAGCAACGACCGGAAGAGGACTCGCCAGCTTCTTGCGTGTTCTGGTTCGCCGTATTTTTAATGTCGGCCTGCAGCATCCGTCTTGTCTCGTCTTTCGTCGGGAGCCGGCGCACGCGAGCACGCTCATAATCATTTTCTACACGAATGTATCGATGCAACGACCAAAACGAGAGAGTGAAAGAGAGAGGAGGAAGTACGCGCGTATCCTTCCTGCCGCAAATCCGTTTCTCGTTGACACGCGGTTTCGCGTAGGTAAAGAGATGCAAAGTCGCTCGTCGATTTGGTTCTTTTCTCGCACGTGCCGTATTAGCGAGAGAGAGAGAGAGAGAGAAGAAAAGAAAAATACATACGAAGGTACCGCCTTGCATATCCGCGCCCGCATATTATCGCTTAGCGGCTGTCGAAAACAATCGCGCGGATAGGATTGCGCAATCCGTCAAAGACGCCGAGGCGTGCGAATCGCGCATTTTTCCCCACCCTTTCTCTTCCATCCGGACCGGATAGAATGGAAAACGCGACCGTGACTGAAGCCGGTCGAGTGTTTATCGATATTTCATAACGTCGGACGCGGACGGTGGTCGCGTGGGAGGCTGAGATTCCCACATAAGTGGTTCTACGGCGATCGTATCGCCGCGTAAAATCTCCCGTCATGGCAGAGTTCACTCGTCTCTTGAATCCGGGTCGCGACGGAGGTGACGAACGATCGTATCGCCGAGACGTCAGACTTTTCGACAGGTCTCGGCCGTGCCTCGGCGATGATGCGTCGTCGAACGGCCGCGCGTGCCTACTTACAGAGTCACGGGTGTAAATTACGCGATGCAACTCGGAGATTACATGTAATCGCCGACCAGCTCAACGTGGCTCCCGAATTATCGTGATCTCACGAAAGCCGGCGTAACCCCTGACGCTCTTTGCGCAATAATCGTCGGCCCGTTTCGTAACCTTGAATTCCTATGGACCGGAGGTAACGTCTGGCCGGTATCTCATCCGGCGGATACGCGCGTCGAAACCGCCCTTCGATCTCTTCCGAGAAGCCGGCTGACGTGTCCCGATCGGATCGATCGACTCACGCAAGCGATCGCTCGTCGTCGTCGTCGCTACCACGGTCAAGCGAGCGAGGTGCTCGCGCGCGTCGATGCACACCGCGCAAATTAGAGCTAATCATCGCGTTCGGCTGTCGGAGCGCAAATTAGATATTCCGATCACAGGAGCCGCGTGCGTGTACACGCACCGTCGCCGCCGCTGCTCCACTTCGGGCAAGGACTAACGCGCCCAGTTTCCTTCCCGAACCGCTTCCTTCCTGCTGCTCAGCTCCTTTCCCGCGCGCGTCGTTTAGCACGCGCGATCTACGAGGTCGCGATCTCGATCGTCGGAGTCAAGTGCACCGCGCCACCCCGCGGACGACCTCCGGTCGCTCTTCCCAAGGCGAAGAGTTACGTAGCTAATGGACGCGCGACCTGATCTCTCTCTCTCTCTCGGTAGGCATCACGGACGTCTCGCGAAATTTGTTGTTTAAACAGAGCGCGCGGCACGTGTTGCTCGCGTATTGCGCCGTCGATCACTCATTAAGCCGCGCCCGACCTTCTTGCGTGATCGTTGAATTAATTATCGGAACTGGGCGCTTTTCACAATGAGGAGAAACCGCGGTTGCTCTGCCGAGGTTGGGCAAAAACGGATGTGAATCAGCGGACTGTGGTCGATGAGAGATCAAGAGCGGAATATCGACGATAAGGTGTTATTAATTAGGTAAAATCTCGCCGAGTCCTTCGGGCACGCCAGCCACTCATGGCGGCGGCTTTTTTCTTAGACGGAGGAAACGTTTCAGTTCCTGCAACTGAATAGAGACCGGATAAAAACTCGGTGACAAGAAATGATATATCTCCGTTACCGCGACTGAGAACATCCGTGTGAACGTTTTTAACTGCATTTAAAACTCGCTAGAGACAACCGAGAGCAATTGGCCGCGTAGAAAGCTCCTACGGGTATGTGATATATTTTAGGCTTCCGTGCCAGTGGATAAATCTCGTGTCGCACTTCGTCCTGAGAAGTGAACTGGAATGTTCACGAAACGTCAGGAAACAAATCCATGAGGAATGCGGCACTCATACAGGAATCTTTTTGCTCCAACAACCGAGTTTTCATCTGATCCCCGTGCAATAGAAAATTCAATTACTCTGACGGAGTTGTTTTTTCCATATAAATATACCCGACGACGATATTATAGATGTAGTAGCACCGGTTTCTCCGGAGACGTGTTTATTACACTCGAGAAAAAGTAAACCTGAGAGATACTATCTAATTAATCAAAGGTCTTATACACGAAAGATAACTGACCTTTCTTTCGTGTGCAATTGGTACGCCTTCATGCTATCTATGTTCCTAAGTACATATCAGAAGACAAAGTATCCTACCGCCGTGTGTCAACGAAGAAGGCTCGTGTAACCAGCCGATTAAAGTTATCAGCCGTATTTCGCAAGATGAACATTAATCGTCGTCGCCAACCAGTCGAGAAAGAAAGAAAAAAAGAGAAAGAGAGAGAGAGAGAGGGAGAGACCGTCGTTGCTTATCGTCTCTGGAAAAAAAACGAGTACATCTTCGCCTCCATCCCTCTCTCTTTCTCTCTCTCTCTCACGCACCATGCAATTTGTACGGTTTCCATTAATGGCGATTGCACTGCGATTGAAATTGAAATGCGACTGCGAGTCATCGCTGCACATACGGCGCGCCTACGCTCGCCTTTTGATTTAAAGCGGCGACTCGCGCGCCTATCGATCACGATTAATCGCGCGACCGGAGGAGCGTCTCTCCGCTTGGAGGCCCGCAGAGTACCATCTCGGAAACGATGTTCGAAGTTGATACTTAGTTGTTTCAACGCACACACAATAATCCGGCTTGATATCCGACGAGATTCGGCGTTCGGGAAGGGTCGGCATGCGGAAGAAAAAAGGTTGCGGTCGTTCTCTCATTGAGCGGAAGCCGACCGGCCGCTCTCCGCAGGCGGGACTTTTTTTTTCCTACTCGAACGCACACAGGCTTTGTCTCGTGAATCTATCCGACTCGTTTCGGCGGGGCAAGGTCGCGCTTTCGACAGCTTCCTGATCCATGTCGCGCGCACGCACTCCGCCGCCGCTGCGCCGTTGAGGAATGCGTAC